GTGCAACGCTTGTAGTTAATTATGGATTTATTTTCTTGGGACGTAGTCAATTCCTTCATCATAAACCTCATTTTTGACAAAATCGCAAAGGAAAAATTATTTTCAATGCTTCTCACATAGTATATATTCCACAGAATCCTCATTCGGAGTCAAAGATCCTGCATTAAAAAAATCTGACATGAACTCCACGTTGCTTCCTTGTACGGCCTATTAAATTATACACAATTTTTGCTGCACTTAAACTGATTTATTTGAATTTAATTAGAGATATATTTTTCATTCAGTCAAATCAGTTCTCACTTCGCGGCTATGCATAAATACCTAAAATCTCAAAACATTTTCATTAACATTTGTCAAATACAGAAAACCTTAAATACCTAATAGATTTAAATACAGTTACATTTTTTTCCAATTAAAATTAGAGTAGCTCGGCCAAAACAAGCAATTCGACCAACGGGGAAAATGATAAAATTTCACGTGCACAAAAATGTAAAGTTGACTTCTTGTCTTACTGGGTTAAAATGACACTGAGGTTGGTGCACCAACTGACTTAATTTATTGTACTACTAAGAGTTTCAAATGCAAACAAACAGCCGCTCGTTAGGCCTATAACGCACCTTATACTTGTTGATAATTCTACAACTATTGCATGCACATTAACTAAAGGCATAAAAACCTTAACCGAAACAAAAGACTAACATAATTAAATCACTTTTAAAGAAAAAATGCATAATTTACCAACATAAGACTAAAATAAAACACAGCTCACTAAGCCGGGTAAGACGATACATGTGCGTATATACATATATACATACGTTTGGTGCCGATTGCAACAATAAAGCTAGTAAATGACCTTCATTCCTATATCGAAAATTTCAACGTTCTACGGCTAAGCGTTTTTCAGTTATGCGAGATACGTGCATAGGTATGTGCAGACATCACGGAAAAAAAACTCTCTTGAATTTATTTTAAATTCCTTTTACAATTCGCTCTGGAAAATAATCCTTTGTTCTGTCCGTACGTACAGATATCAAGCAAAAAAATCCTTTAAATAGACTCGAGAGCGGTCAAATTGGATATGTTCGTTGAAATATGACACACGAAGTATTTCACGATTACAATACTTCCTTTATTTTGAACAAGGGAAAAAAAACGAATATGTTTTTGAAAACGATAGTTGCAAAAATACGTCATTCCATTTTTTATGGAAACAAATCTGACGGTTGTCTCCCGCTCCAGACCATTCATCTGGGCTGGTGCTAGGTATTTTTCCAGCCGGATCTATATCTCTGTGGGTCTTAAATTCTGCTGCTTGGTATCTCACTAAATTCCAAAACCTTTTGCAGCAGCTAAATTCAGCTGCCCAACGCCTCCCTTAAATACTAATAAGTAATCTGCTGTCCTTAAATTATAAAAATTTTACCATCGTTGTTCGATGCTTCTCTAAATTCTAAACATTTTGCTGCCCCATGCGGCCCGTACGGCTTTCACCGGCTCCGGCGTCGGCCCTGCTGTTGCTTTAAACAGGTTTTACAATATACTACAGTACAAAGTCCGAAATCCGGTCTCGTCGGGACTTCGGCGATTCCGGATTTGCGATTTTTCCAGATACTAGATCATCGGTTTAAATCTAGTAAGATTGTATGCAGAAATTATAACATTAAAAATGTGGAATCGTAATTTATGAAATAATGAAGTATTTATGATCTAAAAGGTATAAAAATTTACAAAAAAAAAGCGCTTAATATTAAATTGTTTACCTTATGAAACATTTCTTTAAATTGTAAGTTGTTTAAGTTGCTTCGTTTTCTGTGTTAATAATTTCTCTTTAATTTTGTAGAGGGACAATCTTTTGTTCAGTTACATAGTTGAAGTCCTGTAATCGAGAATTCCGACTAACATCCCAATCCAAATTTTCTCGTTTTCTTCACAATCGGTAGCGGTATTTTTTTGGGCTAGAACCATACTACAGATTTCGCCGTTCATTGATTGATGATCGAGAAGCATTGTCATCACAATGAGAAACTTCTTTTATATCATCTTCATTTGTTATCGCTTCTCCACATTTCTTTACGAAATCCGTTAATTGGAAAATTTCACCTTTGTTTTGCGATATCCGGAAACATTTAAAATTAGCGGCTATCATCATCAAATTTAGCTATCCTTCACTATGCATTTTGGATGATCATGGATTGGAGACTAACGACAATGTTCCGTTAAATTTTTCTTCTTCTTCCGCGCACTGAACAATTAAGCCTTAATGTATATTTATTTAATACTAAGGCTGTTTCTTGCCCATGATTAAGACTTATCAGAGTTCTGAATAAATACCCCCATATACATAAGCCTTATTGAAGTCCGTCGCTAAATATCTTACCGCCTGATACAGTCTCTGTGGGTCTTAAATTCTGTGGACTCGGTGCGCCCATACGAGCCCTGGCGCTGGTTTTGGATTTATGTGAATAACAAATCGATTATGCTTAATTCAAATAGCCTTAAATGTAATCTTTGGGGTCTATGAGGATCATGAAAAAATCTTTTTTAGCAATGGAAAGGAATTTTGGGATTTTTTCCTCGTAACTTTTTTAGCCCATTATACTTAAATCTGTAATCATCACCAAGCATAAGGTTAACATAAAAGGTTACCACACTCCTTTATTATTCAATTACTACCATAAAAATTTTACTAGGCATCGCTACACGAGTGATTACACAAGTTGTCATGTTTTGATAAACACGCGGTGATGAAAGGAAAGTATAATAAATAATAATTCGTCAGGTTTGCTTCAGATCAACGATGTCTCTATGTGGAATGTTTCGGTTTGAGATGTGTGCCAAGCAGATACGCAGTAACAGAACCAAATCACTGATCGTACAAATTTATACTAAAATGATTGTTTCTTCATTAACAAGGTATTTAGTGTCGAAGTGAAATTAAGAATTGGAACTCTCCAGATTATGCTCGGAGGGGGGAATCAAATGCGCATGAATAAAGTCTATGAGAAAAATGTTATTGGTGATTTTGAGGTCCGGATTTTAGATCATTCCGGATAATGAACGTCCGGATTTCGGACTTTGTAAAAAAAAAAAAAAAAAAAAAAAAAAAAAAAAAAAAAAAAAAAACAAAAAAAAAAAAAAAAAAAAAAAAAAAAAAAAAAAAAAAAAAAAACAAAAAAAAAAAAAAAAAAAAAAAAAAAAAAAAAAAAAAAAAAAAAAAAAAAAAAAAAAAAAAACAAAAAAAAAAAAAAAAAAAAAAAAAAAAAAAAACAAAAAAAAAAAAAAAAAAAAAAAAAAAAAAAAACGTATTACCAGAAATCGCTCCACCTCCATTTGTTCGTACAAACTCGATTCTAATATCATATGAACTTCAAAAACTACAACTTGGCACCACATTGCGTAGTACTGTCACCATTATCATTTTTAGGTACTCCAGAATAATAAATTATACGCATAATAGCTAATGCTGGAAGTAACAATATCAAAATAATATAAAATAAACTGCACTAAATATATAGGGGGAAAATACTTCAGCAATGAATCTTAAACTGGAAAACTGGGTCTCGTATCCCTTCCCAGTCGCCCTTTAAGTGGCAAAGAACATAAGAAATTATCGCATATTCCCGTGCGGTCTTTCTTGGTGTAACTGGTTACAGAACTCAGCTACCAAGTGGAAGATCACTGTATGGATTACCAGTAAGCCTTTACATGATGCAGGAAGCAAGGGACAGTCTGTTGTGTTTTAACTTCTCCGCGTTTTAATCTTTTTATTCCACCTCATCCCAATATTTCTGAAATAGGTCATATGATTCACACTGCACAGACAGTAGAACATTTAGAGGTTTTTCGCTATAGGAACGGAGAAATATCAACTACGCCTTCACCCAGGGCTGGATTAACTATTACGCAAAATAAATACGTGATTAGGGCATTAAGAAAAGAATGCACCAGAAAAAGGTGCTAACGAATTCAAGGAAAGATGGAACCACAACAATTTCACATTGCCATGGAATACATGATGCAACTAAACTAAAACCTAGAGGGAAGGAATGGGGGAAAAGAGGCGTTATGCTTTAACTATAAGTGGGGACACCGAAATCCTTTAAGTTATTGCCTCTAAAAGTTTTAATCCGGTTCTGCCTTCACAAAGATTAGAGCCATGTTTCTTTAACCTCTTAAACCATGAAAGCACTCGCAGAAAGATGGAGCAATGTTTTACATTCTGCTCCATCTAAAGGGCGATTGGTGAGAAGAAAGAGACCCACTCGATCTCTGGTGGCGATGGGAGATGGGTTATTATCAACCACATTTTAATTCGTTAGTAAATTAATTGTGGTATGATTAGCACATTTGTGTACAAGTCCACAGTTCGTACTCCTGAAAGGCGTTTTTCGATCTTAACAGTCTTTCTATACAGTATTCCTCATTAGCGTTATCCAACGAGCCACCGCTAAAATTTAGAATTCAAGTTAAATACGAGCATTCATTAAAATGTTTAAAGCAGTTTTGATGGAATTACTTAAAATAAAAGTGCAAGGAACATTCAAATTCTCCGTGCACGCTCTCGTTGTGCCATCCAGCTATCAAACTGGAGATCCATGTCTCGAATCCAGTGAGAGAATAGCCAGTTTACAATAGAATCTGAGAAGTGTTTGGAGCGGGAAATGGGAAAACCCAAATGTGCCTTCGTTGGAATCTGAACCACGGATTTCTCATTTGCTAATTACATGTGTTAACCACAGAACAGAAATAAAGGAACTCAGTAACAGAAATCCTTAGAACATAAATAAAAGAATTCAATATCAAAATGTAGAATAATCTTTACATATTTAAAAATAAAACTATCAACTAAAAATTGCCTATAACTCTTAATAAAAACTTATTAGTAACAGATAACTAATTTTAAAAAAAAAGGGCACAACAGAAAAAAATATTGGACTTGACTGATTTGGATCAAATAAGTATACAGATGAAGCAAAAATAAAAACACCTACGATAATTACCTCGGAACTAAAGTCTGCAATCTGTTCCTTGCCAGAGATAATTTCTTAAGATTGATGAGATGACGAAATGGCGCAGATGGCGTGGCGAATATCTGATTGTCACTCAAATCTAATTCCTGAAGATTCTTCAGGCCATTGAAATCCGACTCACGAAGAAAGCTGATGGCATTGTTGCTGAGGTCGATGATATGCATACGCCTGCCTGGCCAGAAAGAACTGTCACCAATAGCCGGCAGGCCCGAGTACGTAATGCGCACAGTCTCAAGATTTGTGAATTTGAGGAAGATACGTCCGATGGTTATGTTGTTAGGGTTGTCAGGCGGTGCCGTGACGATAAGTTCGTGCGTGTTGACATCCATTTCGGAGACGGGGATGAGAGTGAGTCCGCCAGCCGAGCAGAATACGCTTTTCTTTCCGGATTTGAGAGCGCAGGTACAAGACTTCGGACAGCGAGCTGATACCATTGTCTGGTTGCATATCCATAGAAAAAGGCCCAGTAGTATGCAAAAATAAGCTTGATCCATACCTAAAATAAAAATAAACAATTTTAGACTCTGATAGTTTCGCATGATATATTTTTCAGAAATCATACTAATTATTTCTTGTTTTGACTTTTTTCACTCGTTTCCAAAGAAATTTAGTATAAAATGGGAAAGAAAAAACATTCAAAAATATATAAAACTGACGTAACGCAAGTAGTGCTCAGGGCACACAAAACAGAACGTGCAAGGCAGACCAGTGTTCATTAAACGTGGAAAAACAGAACATGCAAGCAAATACTGTAGATCCAAACAAGAAAAATGTGTTATTTGTAAAAATACAAATATAATCATTAACTTAAAAGAGAACAAGCCTACAATAAAAGATAGACTTCGAAATTTAGATAAACTGAAAATCGGTTACGTGCAGGAACTATACTTAATTTAAAATATTCTAGTTGGGTTCCCATTATATTATAGAATCTACTATCACAGGAAGGATGCAAAACTTGCAATGATTATAAAGGACAGTGCTATACTAGTACTTGAGATATACATGTCAGAGACAATAACAACATTTAAAATGTATGGGATATTCCCCTTTCATCCGAATTTATGCGTATTGCCGCCGCACGATGATCTAGACTCCACATTATTTAGAGGAGTTAACAAATCAAAATGCTGATCACACAATTTTGTCGAGACATACAATACATGCAGCTGATGCAAGTGACCGATTAGGATGGGGAGCTTTATAAGCTCCTACTAACCTTACGATCGCCAGCGATTCCAACATCCCCTCAGCGTTTGTAGGATCACGGATCAACTCACGGATAGACCTAACGTTAATAAAAGGCTCAAATATATTAGATTCTATAAATTGGGAAGTTAAATCAAGGGACACACTGAGTGACCACTCAACAAAAATGTTCCATGTCAAATTAAAATTAATAACTCCCTATCAGAGAATCCAAATGAAGATAGAAAACATAGAGTGGCTCACGTCAAGGCAGGAGATAACAAGCTTAATATTATTGATAAATCAGAATCTCAATTCAAATAAGAATGCAAGTAACTTAATAAGAGGTATCTCGGAAAATCTAAAAGCATTTTATAAACAAAATCAAAGAGCTTCCAAAAATATAACGACATATAACTACATAGTGGAGCTACTCCCTTTCACAAGGAAGAAGACAGTTGTAATGAGTTTAAAATAATTATCAAAATCCGAAGGACAAGGGAAGAAAGGATAAAAGAATTATATACAATAAAACCGCAGAGGCATTCCGAGAAAACATATTCAGTACTAAATTAGCAGCATGGTAGAATTATTGTGAAAGCCTGAAAATCAAATTCCCATTTAATACTTGCTATGATATAGTTAAAGGAAAGGCATGCAAATAATCCTTAAAATTAAAAAAGTAACGAAGAGTGTCCGAGTTATCGCTTCTGGAGCTGCCTGGCAAGAGATAAATATCAGAAGTAAAATTAGCAAACCATATAAAGACGCAGATTAAGTTAATACTTAAAGACTCAAACGTATAATTATTCTCAAAGGTAAAATTAATACACAATATTCAAAGGATAAATTTAACACACAAGATAAGACTCAAAAAGTAAAATGAAAACACAAGACAAGAGTCAAAAGGTAAACTTAGTACATAAGATAATATTCAAAAGATAAAATTAGTCAAGAGAAAATTAATACAGACTCAAAGTTAAGATCTAATTCAAAGTTTATTAGGCACGAATTATGGGCAGTACAACGAAAATAGAAACAAACTAAACTATGAGACTTCTCGATAACTTATATAATAACTGCTTCCAGGTACTCTAGACCGAAATATGATTACAAGAAAAAATCCCAAGCAAAACATCTATATAACACACCTTGGGTCGGAACGGAAAACTAATAACTCCATTAAACTAACTTGAGGAACTCCATCAAATTTTCAGTCGCTCTAATTATTACTCTGCGAGCAACTTTCACATCAAGATTGCAATATTACGAAACAGGTTAAAAACCAGCTCATGTTTATGCATAAACCTCTAGTCTAAACAAGTATAGTGACGAGACATAGAACACAGAACAGATATTAACGTGAAGCTAATTAAAATTAACTTGAAACTTAAATCCTGAATGTTGTAACTTTTAGGTTGAAAAAAGTAAAACCATTTCATTTTTAAAATTATAAGAATTCAAACGTTTTAGTTTTGATGTTAAATACATTTAATGCTACTTAAATGAGAAGGATTGATATACCGTTATTTCAGCTGCTGAAAAAAATATTTTTCCGGGAAGATTTTGACAGTGATGCAGATTTTAACTTTTTCTTCAAGAAAAAAAATCAGCTTTGCAATGGAATTTTGGATCTTAAGTAAAGCGCGAAAACTAAACGACAATTCATTTAATATATTCTTATCAAATGACACACGAATGAAGCACATCCCATCAGCAAACCTGTCTGATTAGCAGACTGTTACAGTTCTCCAAGCGACCTCTTTGCATTGATCAGCCAAATTTGAATCTCTCTGTTCAGTATCATTTGAGATTCTATCTGAGACCGCTACATAACGGTGTGCCAACATAAAGATGCGCCCCTTATACAAGCTGTCCGCTGTTCAAAAAGACTTCATAACGGTGCTGCGGCATACGGAATCGTAAACTACAGATTGTCGCTTGCAGCTGATAATCGACAACCTTATGCCAATCTGGCGTTTCTTATAAAAGGACGCATGCGCATACTTTTATAGAAATAGGTGGCCTTGTTTCTGGAATCATCCGGAATTGAACAAGAATCAAACTACCAGTGTTCAGTGGTTTAACTGCTCGGCCGCTAATTGGTTCTTTAAAAATTCATACGCGAATCTTTATAGGTAATACAAGTTTCTTTTGTAATAAAACTTTATGGAATAGTTTTGAATACTGAGGAAACCAGAATAGTGATTCCCTAAACGCGGGATGCGTCATGAAATAATTTCTGTTGAGACGCGAAAGATATTTTGTTTTGCTTTGTTTTACTGTTACGTATATTTACTTAAATTATGAATTAATAAACAATTCTTATAATTGACTTGATTGATTGTTGATAGTTACTCATATTTATTTTTTATTAATTCGTTATAATATTACTTCCTTCTGAATTCCTTCTTTTTTTCAATAGAGAAAAACTATTTTTAAGGAATTTCTAGCAAGTAACTTTCTTTTATATTAGGGGGAAAATATTAAATATGAATGGGGGTTTTAAAACATTCCATAACTATCAGTAAAAATGTTTGTTTATTCTTAAAAACGACATGCATATTGATGGACGTAAGAAAATCTATTATGTGATAAGTATTCGATAGCGCATATGAAAAACTGAATCTACTATAATACTTAAGGTTTAGAGCAAGATATTTTTATTAAATTTACAGTCTACATTCATTTCCAAATCAAAAAAAAAAAAAAGAAAAGAAAAGAAAATCTGATGTGGACACATGAGTTCCTTGTACAGAATATTAAATTATATGGAGAGAAGTTTTTTTTTCGCATTTCATTTCAATTTCTTTCCTCGAATTTCATAAGATATAGTTCTCATTCAATTAATACAGTTCTCACTTCGTGGAAAGGCAAAAATGCGTAAAACCACAAAATATCTTTATTAAAAATTGAAAAATATGGACAAATGTAATACACCATATACAGCTAAAACAATTTTTAAACAAAGTTATACAATTAAAATTAAGAGTTCCTACGCAAAAACAAGCAATTCGGCCAGCGGGCAAGATGGCAGATTTTTCTGTGCACAAAACTGAAAGTTTTCTTTTCGTTCCACTCGTGAATCCAGTTTAAATTCTTTTTGCAACCCGTTTTGGGAAAAAGAGTCTTTTATTATGTCCTTACGTATAGATATTACGCAAAAACATCTTTAAATTGCATTCGATAGCGGTCAAAATGGATATTTTCATTGAAATATGATACCCGAAACTTTCGCAATACTTCCTTTACTTTGTATAAGGAAGTAAAAAGGAAGAATTAGGTTAAAAAAAAATTTACATCCTTTTCACACCTTACGATTATAGCAGTTTGTCATTTTGATGAAAATAAAATTTAATGTGTTGATGAAATACCGAAATCCTTTCCTGAGCAGCACGACTTGCAAAGCTGTTTTTATTGATGAAAGCTTCAATCAGCCTTACGGGAACCCACTCTTTTTCATAAAGGTGCGAACAGCTTTATCACAATTCAGCATTTTTCATAAGGGTCCGAGCACATTTATGAAAAGTCCCCGTTTTTCATAAGGATGCCAAATATTTTCAGCTCCTATTTAATTAATCAATCAATAATTGAAACGAAAATCGGATTTGGATAAAAGTGCGCACACCTTTATAAAACACACTAGATCAGTGTAAAAAGTGTCGACGATCTGTTTTAAGCGAGAAACTGATCATCAGCTAAAGGCACGCTTATTTAACGCTATGGCACTGTCATGTCTTTTCGAACAGCGGTGGACTTTACATAGTGGTGCGGTGCCGCTATACCAGCTCACCGTTATGAAGGCATTCCTTCCCTTCACTCCTCTGTTTGCCAATGCACCATTTCCAAATGTTACTGAATGAAAAACAATTACTAACAAACAAATTATTTCAGCTGCAAAAAGAAGCGTTATTAATTAAGTCAGGAACAAAGCTACGCATTAGCGAAGATAGACGATGTATAAATGAAATATTTTATTTTTAAATATAAGTTGGAATGAATGGAGCAGTAATACGCATAAAAACACATAGCGTATATACATTAAGAAATAGACGATAAAATGTATTTCTTTAATATATAAATGAGTAATGACATTTTATCAGTTAAAACAGAAAATTAAATATAAGTTGGAATGAATGGAGGCAGTAATGAAAAGACGTACAAATAAAAACACATAGATGGTTCTGTATTATAATACATTATTTTAGGGAAACTGCGAGGATTAAAATTCAGGATAAAATTGTATTTCTTTAATATATACATGTTAACTGCAGTAATGTGAACATGTATATAGTTTCAGTACTAAAA